CCCTTCGAAAACCGGTGGGGTCCCCCCCCCCCCCCTCCCCCGGAGAGAGATGGAGCCCGCAACGAAGGGAGACGGGGGTTCCACCCGAATCGAAGGAAGCAAACAGCACAAAAAGCCAGCCCCGATTGCCTCTCGAGTGGCACAAACTCTAATATCCTCCCCGTAATCGATTTCTAGGTGGACTCCCGCTTTATGGATGGGGAGACCTTCCCCTCTCGTTCTAGGGCTTCTGTCTTTGTTCTAGGGGCTTCTGTCTCCCTTTTAGGGTCTTGTTTTCATTATAGGGGCTTCTATATCTGTTCTAGGGACGTCTGTCGCCCTGTCATTGGCTCATGTCTTCGTTCTAGGGACTACTGTTTTCATTCTAGGGACTTCTGTCTTCTCGTTCTAAGGACTACTGTCTCCCTTCATTCTCGGGGCTTCATTCTCTCCCTCTCCCTCTCTCTCTTTTCTAGTCACGAGGGTGGTTCAAATTTGACTTATGTTTATAAAGGGCAGAGTAATGTATATAAATAAAAGTAGGCGGGGGGGGGGGAATTTGAATTCAGGGTGTTGTTAACCCATCCCAACAATCACGTGTTTTCTGCTTAATTACAAGAGATAAAAATCAAGATCTAATGGCGTGAACCACACCCCCAAAACGAACCACATGCGACTCATTCTGTAAGCTTTCACGTCCACATTTATACTCGTATGATTTTCGCCGGTCAAATACGGATGTCCTTGACATAAACATACCATGCAGACAATCGTCTGTAAATTCCAACAGAGTTGATGTTGATCAGAAATTTCGTAATATTCGCCGTAGCACCTTCCTTGTCACCTCGGTTGCTGCCATCTTGATTTTCAGCACTTGTAATAAAGCAAGGAACAATTCTATAAAGACAAATCCCCCGAAACTCCTGATCCACTTACATTAATCTGCCGTTTGTGTAGAAAAGTCCAGGTCAAATTCGAATCAGCTTCGTACATAAGCTTATTTTGCATTGACGTCTGCAGTCGTCTTGTGCTCTGAAACTGTTACGAAAAGCCTGTTTTTTTTAATTATATATGCCTGCCTTAAATGCATCTAATTAATTGCAATGCAATATAATTGCCTGCCTCGATCGCAATTTCAGTTTTTGCCAAAAAAAAATCCTGTTGCCTGCTCTGTCGTGTGTGGGGTGGGGGGCGGAAGCCTCGATGAAAAAATTTCCGTTTTCGGGAGCGGGTGCGCTTTTTCCGTCCCCCCCGCAGGTGAGCGAGACCGAGAACATCCGGAAGAACCTGGCCATCGAGAGGATGATCGTGGAGGGGTGCGAGATTCTCCTGGATGTCAACCAGGTCTTCGTCCGGCAAGGTGGGTCAGTCGTCGTCGGTTGTGTTGTCAATCGTGTTGTCAATTACATTGTCAATCGTACTGTCAACTAGGTTTTAAAAAGATTTTTGGCGTTTCGTAATTAGTGTTGTAAGGATTTTCAGCAGTCGCTGTAATTTGTGACGGATTAATAATGGATTAATCGCGTGTTAACCACCGTTTAATCCTGGATTAATCACGGATGAGTCAACGAGGAACGAACTATTCCAGGGTGCCTGATCCAGCTGCCAAGCACGGAGAAGTGGAAGTTCCACCGACGGATGATGGCGAGCCTGAGGAGCGAGAAGGACGCCATCCGCCAGTGCTTCCTCTTCACCAATCACCTCATCATTGCGACGAGGCGAGTCTTCCTCTCTCTTTTTTTTTATTCTTAAAATTCGATTTGTCTTC